CCCCCCCATGGTCCCCTCCCTCTTCCTCCAGCCCCCCCCCTCCCCCACGCCCTACTTGGAGTCTGGCTTCAGCTCCCTGCTGCAGCAGGTGGGGACTGTCCGATCATCGAAGCTTTCTGAATCTTTTCCAAAGATTCGGAGAGCTTCGAATCAATTCGGACCTTTTAATCAGTCCCCTGATTTGATTAAAATGTGGAGATTTGGCCACTGAATCGGGCCGAATCTCCTCCGAATTGAATCAGTACCTGAAGTTTCACACCGCCCTAGAAACTACATGTATTAAATATGTACTCCTTTCTACCTAGAGCAAAAAAAGTAATACAAATACTGACATTAAGTGAGAAATAAGATCATGTAACACCTGTGTGGAAGAAATCAGGAAGTAAATTACTAAAAAACGTCACTGGTTTGGAACTACCTCTATTTGTTTTAACTCCCCATCTTGCAGCTAGTTGTACAAACTAGCTCCTAACTCCTAGTGAATAACCTATTTGAAAGTGTACACCAAGGGACAGGCTGTCAGTGTCCTCTGCTGGCAGACAGGATAACAACTGCATGTCAATTTAATCCCCACTTTAAGGGCCATGCATATATAATCCATGTGATTTGATTTTTGGGTTGATCTTCATTTAACCTCATTTGGTTCCAAGCATAGTTTGTGGATAGAGATGCATGAACTAGAAACGAAAGAAATTATTTGGCTCATTAAAGAGGATTCTTTTCTGATATCTGTGGTTTTTCACACACAATTAAAGTAGATGGCAAGATGAGGGCCATTCCAATGAATTAATGAAGTGCTGTGAATGAGTCTGAGTGAACAGTATGTACTGGTGGAGATGTCACTGTACAAAGACAGCTTTTGGTGACAGGAGAATAGCCACAACAACAAAAAATACTTAAACAGATGCATCAGTAGGCATCCCTGGAATCAATCAAAGATTTCCCAAAGCAGCATGAGCAGAACTGTCAAGGGAAGGAATGATTATTTTTAAATGATCTCAAAGAGGAAGTACTGTTGATTATAATTCATGTGCAATCTGAAACTCTGCACATACTACCCACACATGTGAGGCAAGAGGATTAGCACTTAATTAGGAGGTCTGTTCACTTTCTGCTACAAGCTGAAATGATGGGTTTTAGTGCCTCCGTGAAGTGGGTTGTTTGTTCAAAAAATAATTTTGCTGCACCTTTTCTTTAAAGAGGCAGCATGAATGTTATATGATGTAGTCACTTAAAAAACATTTGATTCCTATATTTGTGCCTGAATCCATTTAACAATGGTAGGAAATAAATTATTCAGAGTGATTCATCCAAAAAGGAACTTCAACAGACCTCAGAAAGGTCCTAGACATAAAAACAGTTAGGTGTACACATGAATATTCATATGCGCTGTACAACTAAACCCAGTACAGTTACTCCCATGCATAGTTAGGCACATGTTTGCTAGGTTATGGTGTACAAGCCTGCCTAATCTGGCTGTCTTTAACGAGACAAAATTTCAATATTATTTTAACTTCCCATTGGGCCTTTGGGCAGAAAAGATTAATGATGGAGAAAATGAAACCAGCAAGGTCTGAAAAAGATGCCTTGGAAATGGATTAGCCTTTTCATATTTATAGCTTCCTTCATTTATAAGTTGCATCCTTAGGGCAGATCTGCAAAGCCCTGCTTTATGCGACTGTGATTCCCTGCGAGAGTGAGAATTGCTCATTCACAAGAAATAGTTTCTGTCCCTTTCTTGTTTCACAGACTATGAACAATATCAAGAATTAATGATAATATAGAAAATTCTAACAGGATCTTACAATTGTTTGCCTCAAAAAATTGATGAACAACTCTTGGAGCAACAGAACATAATAGCATAGCATAGAATATGTATTAGTGAAAGCTAATCTAGACATTGCTGGATATCTTGGGCTTTTATATATTTATAATGTATGATAAAAGCTGAGAGACATGCTTTGTTAAAGAAGGAAGTTTATACATAGCAGACAGATTTATGGCAGAATGTGAATCTGGATCCTTCAGTACTGAAGCCCAAATCTCTACCACTTGAAGTCAAAGACTACAGGCCCAGAAAAAAACCAAAGCCATTTCTTTCAGTGGTCTCTGGACTGGGTGTAAGCACATTAGCTGAGGGCAGTATCAGCCCACAATCCCTTCTGTTTAAGACACAAGAGGTCAAAGGAAATTTTTCCTTCAGTTTCCTCCCCCTATTCTTTCTTGCCTTTGCCTTGAGAAATAAAATGTTGACTAGAGTAGACTGGTGGTATACAAGCTTACCCTCTGTGGGAGAGTTGAATTTGGTCTCGTTTACAAATGTAGATAGGTCAGATGGCTCTGGGTAATCCTGTTTATCCGAATTCAGATCCACAGTCATGCACGTCCATTTCTGACTGGTCACTGACGATGCCAGTTTTTCCTCATCTGTCGCATGAACCACAGTAGATATAACTGGGGGTGTTTCTGGAGTAGGCAATGGAGTAGAGTCCTGCAGAGAAACAAGGCAACTTGGCTTTATCGTTCTTTGTGATCATGCCGAACAACTAGAAAGAAACAATTCTCTGAATTCATTCATCAGGTTTAATTTCCCTCATAAACACTTTAATTTCATGCAACCTACTGCAGGTATATAACATACCTGAGTAGTTAGAGTTGGAGAACTATTTTTTCTTGCTAATTAAAATCTCTTTACCCCAGGGGTGGGCCAAATGCGGCCCGCGGGCTGGATGTGACCCGCTAAGCCATTCTATCCAGCCCGCAGGGCCCCTAAAAATTTTAGAAAATTAATATTAATCTGCCCTAGGCTGCCTGTCATGTGGCCCTCAATGGCTTGCCAAAACTCAGTAAGCGGCCCTCCACCCAAAATAGTTGCCCACCCCTGCTTTACCCTATACACTGCAATTCTTTTAGAACAGTGATATAGTAAATTGTGTTGATTATGAGGTAAACTGAAAATCTGACAACTGCATTTTACTTTTTGTGTGAAAAAATGACTTCACCATACGAGAGGAACCATTGTAGATTTTCTTTGTTGCCTTTACTGCACACTTTTTTTCATGTTACTCATGATCCAGGGTGTATGTGGAAGTTTATAAATTCTGCTAATGCAGAATACTGCTCGTCGCAGAGCACTTAGGTGCCCTGCTCCTAAGAAGGGAAAAACTGCTAGAGAAAGAGCCCTAGCAGTGAGCCACGAGCCCAGCTGCTGGTCAGCTGACCAGAAGGGGCAGGGCCTGGCTCCCATATAAAACTCAGGGGCTGAGCCAGGCTGGCAGTTCCCTGCCAGCAGCCAGGGAGGAAGGGAGCTCTCCCTGAGCAAAACTGCGAGGAGAGGCCTGACCGCAGGTACAGCCTGAGCCGGGTAAAGGATGGAACATCCCTGGGGCATTTGAGTAACATGGTTTTAGCCGGGAGGCTTTAATTTATGTTACAGCCCAGGGGCTTGTGTTGTGTTGCTGTTTAAAGACCGGTGGTTTGGGTGAGGCTATAAGGGGTTGGAGGAGGCCTCATAGGGGACCCACAGCAGTGTGGGGGCCCCAGCACCAGCGAGGGCGCAGCATTCAGGGTGCACTGACCCCAGCCCTAGAGAAAGGGGGCAGCACTGGAGAAGACCTAGAGAAAGGGGCCGCATTTTGGAGAAGCCCCAGAGAAGGAGGCAGGGTGAGACCAGGGCCGCAGAGGGCCCAGAGAGGACAAGAGGGCCACATTATAACAAGGCTGTGACTGAACAACGTCAATTCCATCTGTGAGGCTTGGGGCGTAGTAAAGGGATGGTTGGAGCCATGCAGAGCCCATAAGGCTAGGGTGCCCCTGAAGCACCCCTTTGCAGAGCGGGACCCACAAGGGGTCCGGGAGTCCACGGGGTCAGGTATTTACATCAAACCGTGTCCAAGAGGACATAAGGCAGCCTCCCATATATTTATTCTCCATCAAAGACGTGACGGGTGAGAGTGCTCTTTGGGCCAACTTGGCATGGGAAGGGGGCCTTGGGGAGATCACGGCCATCCCACAAGACCCCGTACCGTGACACTGCTAATACATGGAGCTGGTGGCCAGGCATGTAAGTTCTGAGAAATTTTCAAGAGTAGAAACACTTTTTTGCTGGTAAAGCTCAGTCACGTGATGTAAATAAATGGCACATAACATATGTCATTTCCCAGAACAGCTAACTTGAGTATTTCCCTTATGGTGGCAAATACTGTATAAACATGGACCTCAGAGGTCTTAAGTCCTCCCCCTCTTCTACGGTGTCAGCCAGCTTAAATGAAAGGTTAGGAGAGATAATATGGGAGGTGAACAATAGCATAAAAAGAAATACCCCAGATTAAAGCAGTTAGAAAAGCCCATTATCTCATACATGGCACAGCCATTGTTAACTCTGAGCTCAAGAAAGGCCACCCGCTTGTGTTTTACAACGACAAATAAAATTGCTGTTTCAGTGCAGACACAGTCCCTGCAGACTAACACACTTGCTTTATTTCTCCTTCCCTTTCAGCACATCATTTTTATTTTGTTTACTACATTTACAATTTACTGGCCTAAAAATATCTGGGTTAATAGTTACTTTAGTAGTTTTCCTGAGCCACAACAGACTTTTATTTATAAATGTTTATCATTCATGTATTAATATCACAGCACAGGGCTTCTAGAAGAGAACTCTGCAACAATCCAACTGGAATTCTTTGGACAAATGTTCGGTCTAATTAGCACTGCACTAATGAATCCTGAGACTACAGATTTAATAAAGTATTATGACTGGAGGCCAAAATGTTAATAATCCTCACCAATTCACAGACCTGTTCAATTATACCAATGTTGTGTCAATGGTTTTTTCCTGCAACAAGCAATAGTTTTATGTATTAAAATAAGAAAGTACTTTACCTTTGAGGGAGGATCAGAAAGTGGAGATCTTTTTGGTGACTTTTTCACCCTAAATGTATCACTAAAAACAAAGTTAACACTGTAAATATACCATACTTAAGAGAATCATCAGCATATTACGCTTAATAATAGAAAGCTAAAGAAAAAAAAAACCCACCTCTGCATAACTTCCTTATTTAGGCATCCTTCCAACTGACAGCAACCCCACAACCCCATGCTTTTAGCATGCATTTTGGATAGGACTTAGTTCCCCAAAGCAGCACAATAAACTAAGTATAGTAATAGAATTAAACAGGCTTGCCAGAGGTCTAAATCTAGAGGGAAAGCTTGTTCAAATTAAATATTGATGACTGTTGACAGAGAGAATTGTCCAGTGGTTGGGGAACTGGCACAGGACTTGGATTCAGGTTCCTACTTTGCCACCGCCACAGCAACTGTGAGAAACTTAAGGAACTTATGTGTGTCCCACGATTGGCCCCTTGAAAGCACCCTACAGCCATGCTGTGACAGCAGTGTGAGGCTGCAAAGCACTTTAAAAGTGTCCGATTGCATGACAAAAAAACCCTTCTGTAATGAGGATTCAGATGAAGGCGCTCCAAGGCTTGCAAAGAAAAACATTTTTTTGCAACTATTTAGTTGGTCTAGTAAAAGAAATAATCTCTACCCAAAGAGTTTTGTCTCTAAGACAGTGCACCTTCATTAACTTCTGTCTAGCCCAGCCCAGCCCCACCCCTGGTGCTGTCTGCAGGAAAGGGGGGAATCCATTTACCCCTACTCCAGCTCAGGCTGGGCAAGCCCCAGTCTAGAGCTCCCTCCCCTCCCTTCCTGCAGACAGCACTGGAGCTGGGGGGTGGGGTGGAGGGGAGAGCAACAGAGGGAGGCCTTAGGGAGTGAGGCTGCAGACATGTAGCTCCTCCTAGATCAGCTCCTAAGTGGAGCTCAACCCCCCCCCCCCCCCCCAACACAATAGCAAATGTCTGTTGAGTCGGGGGGAGAGGGGGGGTCACTCTAACACAAGGTGCTTTCTGTGAAGTGCCATGAGTTAGAGTGAGAAGCTGCATGTCTGTCAGCACTCTTAACTAGTTCCTTTGTGCTTGAACTCCCCATTTGTAAAACGGGCATAATGGCACAAGGGTGATGTGTGGATAAAAACTGGGATGCCCTGAGACACTATATTCAGGTCCAAGTACCTTAAGAAATCAATATGTTCTTGATGAACTGCCCAGAAAGTTTGGTGGTAGGATATGCATAACATGAGGGCCAAACTATATCCTCAAACACATGTGATAGGAAAATGAAGAATCCAGGACAGAACTTGAATCTACATGGTATTTTAAAAGGAATATACGGACTAATGTGGCAACTGTGCTTCTGGTTTTAATGCATCCCACACCATAAACTTAAAATGGAACAATCTTAAACCCTTCAAGATTCCACATTTTCCAGTCAAGCACATGGAAAAAGGAATTTGCATGTGTATTATTTGTCATGACCCAATGATTGTGTGTGCGCTTCGGTACTGCAGAATTATTTCCCGCCACATGGAGCTTTCTTTGCACGGTGCAATTCTCAGCTGCAGAGAGAAACCCCCGGTGCAAAGGAGTTCCCGCCACTCGCATGTAAATTTGTGTCCCACTATTGGCTGTTTCTAAATTATTCCCACGTGGCAGCTAGCGATTGGCTTGCTAGCCATATAAGAGGCTTGAGCAGTTTCTGCCCAAGTCGGAGATCTCCGAGAATCTCAGGAGGATCCCGAGAACCCCGATTCCGAGAATTCCGGGAGAAATCCGAGAGAATTCCGGCAAGGAGTCCACGATTATCTCGTGGATTTCTACGTATATCTCGGACCGAATGATGGTTTGATCAGCCATCAAGAATCTCTCCCCGTCACCGGACAATCCCTGACGTACCCCTGCCCTGCGCACTCGTTGAGAGTCACAGCACGGACTCTCGTATCGGTTTAGAGAGCTCTCATCGTTCGAGTTTTCTTCTTTTCTTCTATCTACAACTGTAACCAAGCAAGTTTTCCTGCCTGCACCGCGACCATCTACGGTGTAAGTAAAATAATCTTTAATCAACCTCTACGCGTCAGTGCCTAATTCTAGCCCGCCGTGCCGACTTCCCTGGCCCACGTGCCCGGGCTGCTGGCCACAGCCCCTCAGCCCCGACATTATTATGTACAGTTACAGAATACTGGAGGTTGGTTTCATCCAAAACATCCAACATATGCCCTAAAGAAAATGGGTCCAGATAAACTGGGGGTCTATCAGTTCTCCAGAAGCAAGTTGCCCAACTTGCTCAAACTCAAATGGAAGGAGCAGGAAAATGGGCTACATAATCTGAGGTGGAATTATTCAAAAAAGAATTCTCCTATTTTATTTTATTGTTCACTGCTTCATTTTATCTTTTCTCTTATATCAAAAGACTCTATATTCTGTTTGAATTTTGTGTAAACTGGTAGAATGGATCACCTTACTGTATGCTTTCAGTAAAAATTATGATTCATAGAAATGTCTTATTTATTTTTATATATAATTTTTGTTGCTCATTTTATTGTACTGGTTTGGCAAAAGCTATAAATAACCTACTACTACTAGTACAATAAAGCCTTTTTAGATAAGTTTAGGTGCAGTTGTGGGCATAGCTGACCAGCTCTGCCCTAATCAATGACTGCTGTTTCATCCAAAAAAATCACAATAAAGGGTTTCAGTTGCTAGAGGATAAATCAATACTGCACCTAGAGGCATACATGATGGAAAAATTGACCAGCTGCTTGGGTGTTCTATGCTAACCATAAATTACTAGATTATGAAAATGTAGATAATGAAAACAATTTATACCTTTATAAAGAAATTATAAACTTTATCAAATGTTTAAGAAATACTTCATTGCTGTGTCGTATATCATCATAGCATACTAAGCAAGCTGATTAGGAAAAGGAAATGTTAACGCTTTTACTTAAGACATCAAATATATATAGCTTGAATTAGCTAATCTTCCTTGACAGGCAACCAGACACTGATATAATAGTTTCCGCAAGCTCATTCACAGCCAGGCAGTGTCACTTAAAATAATTTCTACATTAGCCAGAAAAAGAACACTGGTAATATAAAGCTCCATGCCCAATAATAATTGATCATGCTGAAAATAAATGCATAAGTAAAAATTAAAAGGAAAAAGCCCAACATTCAAATAAGGCACTTTCACCATAACAGCCACAGTAGGTTAAAATTACTTACAACAGAGAACATACAGACATCACATCTTCTACCATCCTAAGACAAATAAGATAAAGAAAAGAGAGACAGACAGAAGGAACTGACAAAAAGGATAAACCTGCAGACACTATTAATGTGTTAGAGAAAAATCATCATGCGCTTTTGATATCAGTACAATCTTAAGCATTTATCTGGTGGAAAGAGGAGAATAAGGAGAGGGATCATTCTTAAGCCAGTTTATGTTTTAAATCCAGGGTTATGATTTATGCCATTTCACCTCATAAAAGCATTTTCAAAGGTAAGTCAATTAATCTGCTTTCAATGTTTTACCCATGCTTGCCTTTTTTGAGGCTGACCAACTGTTTTCTTGTCAAAATAAAATATTGGTTACTATCAGGTATGTAAAAAACATTCCCAAGGAAACTAGTAGCCATTAAAGTTTAAGTAAAGAACACGAATACATTGGGCTCTTCCATGTCCATTGATCTACAATTAAAGTGACAGAAAAATCTCCTTGTCTGGGTAATAAAGGCCAAGAAAAAAATTACATTTCTTGATGTTTTCATAATTTTAGCTCTTAAAGGAACTCGAGTTTGAGTTTTGAGAGTTAGGTTGATTGCTCTGAAAAATGACAGAAAGCAGAGTAGATTTGTACTTTATAGACTGAGAGAGGAATAGCATAAGCTTCAGAAGCAGCAGGCTTACTTTGGATGAAACCCACTGATTTAGTTGGTCTATAAGGTGCAAATCTACCCTGCCTTCTGCTTGACTTCAGACCAGCACAGCTGTCTACCACCCTCTGAAACCTGAGACAGCTTTATTTGAATATCCTACACTAGCCAGTCTTCAGCCGCGTCCGTACCTGTCAAATTTCATACCACACTTTTCAGGCAGGACGGGATCTTGAGACTGAGCATTCTCCCTGTCGAAACAGTCTTTTGAAACGCTGGATGCTTCCCAATCATCAACTACTTGGGAGAGCTGAGTTAGATCTAAAGGGGCCACCCATTCTTTATTCATAGCTAAGCAGGCACTGAGGGAACAGCAGCTGCTCTTTGTTCAGTAACATGTGAGCCAGATGATCCATCTGAGAAGCGCAGTTAAACATGTATACATGATTGGAAAGCAATCTGAGTCAAGATGAAGCCTCTTTTGGTACAGTGGTGGATGTGGGTTTACAATGGTTATACTTGCATTCAAGAGAGCAACTGGTTCTTTGTGGGGATGCTGGTATGCGCGACAGTGCATGGCGCTGTGACATCAAAGTCCTAGAGAAAGACTAAGCCAGTGACTGGCTCCTTCACATCCCATGGGGATAAGTTGGAAATCACTGTGCACACATTAGAAAACACACTGAAGGATACAGTGTCAAAGTGGTCAGCAGGGATTTGTTTCTATGGCTCTTACTAATGTTAATAGCTCCTGGCTCCTCAAAACTACCCCTTGGATCAGTTTAAGAAAATAAATACAATCTTTAAATATTGACGTAGCAAATTAAACTAAGCATGGCGATTTCTGAAATGAAGACCAGGAGGTTAGTTCACGCTTAGAGCTTCCTTTCTGCCTCTAAACAACTCCTCTGGAGCAATGTCTCCTTTCCTTGCACTTCTTGCTCAGGTGAATCTCCTTCCACGGCGGGAACCCTGCGTTCCCGTCTCATCCTTCCTAAATCATAGTTCTTCTGAAATGTATCTTGTAGAAAACTTCGGTGCTTTTGGCATGCTAGAGACAATGGCAGAGATCCCATCTCAATCCCAACATGCTCTGTAGCAAATCTCCCCAAACAGTATTGTCATCCTAGGCTAATGCACTGCTAGGATATAACCATCAGCATGCAGAGCCTTGTTGAAAAAGGAGACTCCAGAGGCTTCTGGGGACAGGTGAACCCATGGAAGAACAACTAATGAAGTGCAGTTACCTTAGGGAAAACAAGGAGTGCAGAGGAGCTCTGTGCCTCCTGCAGAGCCCTGACAATAGGCACGGATTAACACATGGGTCCCTGCCAATCTAGGCAGGCACCCTGGCCATGGGCACCCAGGGCAGACAGTGTGTGCCTCCTCCTCTCTTGCCGAGCCAAGGCCAGAGACTAGGGGGCAGACATAGGGCTCCACCCAAGTGGCAGCATCTTCCTGGAGCCGTCTGTTGCCAGGAGGCCCCATGCGTGGCTCCGCTCCCACTCTCCGCTGTCTACAGACAGCCGCTGGCACCTGCACTGCTGGGACAGGATGGGATGGGATAGCTCCACCCCACCAGGGCTGGCAGAGGAGCGGGCGGCCCTAGCCCTGGCCCCAGCCCATCCTGCAGCGCTGGGGGACCATAGCCCCAGCTGCACAACACCCATCGAGCAGAGGGGTGAGCCAGAGCTGCCCTCACCTCAGCAGTGCTGGCACCCCTGGCTCACCCTGGATATGCCGAGGAGGCTGCAGCCTCCTGGTGGGCACAGAGGCAACCTGCCCTTGCCTGGCGGGAGGCCTCCGATTTTCTGTTTGCCCAGGGCCCCAATAACCCTTAATCTGCCACTGCCTAACAAAGCCATTTCCCTGCTTTTTTTTTTCCCTACAGGGAAGAAAAATTTACTCCAGAGGGGAAAAGAAGGAGGCAATTCTCTAGTAGAAACTGCATGCAGTGTTTTCTACCCAGACTCCAACTTCTGGAAGTACTAAGGCATTTAAGGACCAGCCTGCCCCTTACTATACATCTGGTTTTGATGACTACTTAAGTAGGCTACTGCTCCAGCGATTCACAACATGTGCGCAAACCTCATGGCTTCATTTCCTACATCCCAACACAGGGAACTTCCTGCTGGTTGTAAATTGCTAGTGTAAGGCCTTGGCTGCTGAAACCCCATCTAGAATGAAATTTTAATTCCCTTCCCTCAATTACCATCCAGAATGACTTCTTTAGACTTGGTCTTTTTTGGGCCAAAATGGAATGCTATATTTTGAGGCATCCTTTGCATTGCAGGAGGATGAAAGAAATGTCCTGGCTCTACATTCCTCTTTCTTTATTTTCTAAATTGTTCTGAACTTTGGGCATTTCACAAAATGTCAAGCTCAATATTAGAAAAAAAATTGCACCTGTAGAGTAAGACTGGAGAAAAAGCACCATCCATAAGTTAATCAAATAAGCTAAGCACTGAATCGTTAACTAACTGAACAAATGTGACAGATAGAAGATTCTCCTCACAAACTTAGCAAATGGATATAGAAAGAGAAGATTTGCCTAATACGTAGCAGTCAAAGGGTATTTTGATCCTCCTGTAGACCCATAAAGTATTTTTTAAGGAAACAAAACTCAAGCCTAAGGACCATGTACAGGAGTAAGGAGTCACAAGATCAGCCTCTAATTAATGGGCCACGGAACTGTGCTTTCTGCATTGATGAATTCACTGCATACATTGGTTTCAAACATGACAATGATAATGAACCTGAAAAATTTGGCACAAAATTTTTAAAGTGCAATTATAGTCGCATTGAAATCAAAAGGCACATAGCTACTGTTAGACCTGGTCCTGCTTAAAATAATCCAACCACTCTTCCACTCATCTAGTCAGGTTTGACATATTTCCATATTTACATCAAGTAATTTTGCGCTGAGTGCCTCGCTACATCAGGACTAACACTGTAAGCCATAGACATGAATTCAATTGTCTGGTAATCTATTCCTTATCACATTGTTCCTAACCTGAATGAAGCTTCTTTGAATATAAAGCCAAAGTAATTATGACAGGATGTGGCAGGCTCTTTCTATCCAAGAAACATCTCTACCCTTTAACTTACGTCTTTAGTGGTGTCTTCTTCTTCTTTGCAGGTTTATTTAAGTTGTCTCCTTCAGTTCCATTTGTTTCACTGGCATTGGCTGGTATCTCAAAGGAGGCTGGAGACTTAGAAGGTGAGCTGGCTATCTTACAAGATGACTTGAAAGGGTCAACAGAGTCCTCACACATATCTGGATCAAAACTGTATGTTTGTTGAGGCAATTTGGGAGATTCTTGCATTTTTGTACTGGAAGAGAATGGGTTAAAATTGGGATCATCCCACTTGTCGATATCAAAAGTATAAGAGCCTTTTGTGATAGGGATATCATTTGGATCAGTGGGTGACTTGGTTGGTGTGGTAGGAGCATTGTCAAGCTTTTCCACTGTCTTTTTAGTCTTTGGCCTCCTTAGTGGCATTTTGGCACCAGGCTTTTTGCCTACTTTTTTGGGTGGAGGAGTGCTTTCTGGCTGGTCTTCACTGCTGCCCTTTTCCTCAGAATAATCGAACTCCAGCCTCACAGCAAGGCCTTTGACTGGAGGATCCTCTTGTCCTCCAGTGTCAGAGGGAGTCACCTCCACAGCCTCCGGTGCCGTTGTAAGAGGTAGAGTTTTCTTACTGGCAGAGGGAGAGTTTTGCACTTTGCTGCCAGTACTAAATGCACTAATCCCTTCAAAATTATCTGGATCAAAAGGATAGGAGGCTTCAGGCACAGCAGGGATCTCCTGCTTTTCAGCAGAGATTTGGGAAGGCTCAGGACATTCAGGTTTAACTGAATCAACCTTTGTGTCAGATACTGGCTTTTCCTCACATGGGGGAGACACTGCTATACTAGTGTCTGATGGCTCTTGTTGGACTTCTTTCACAGGTGGAGCATCTGCAGGTTTTTTTGCTGACTGCTTCTTCTTTATGGAAGCGGGTCTGGGTTTTTTTGTTCGCTTAAGGGTACTACAAGCACTACTTGAACCTGTATTGTACACATCTGCTGCTGGAGTTACTGTCTCATTATTGCCAAGATAAGATGCTCCATCAAAATCACTAGCTTGCAAACTGAGAGATCGAGATAACGTAGATCGGGCAACTGGAACAGAATCTGTTGATTTTCTTCGAACATTCGCTTTGGGGTCACGATTCTTTGCGTCTGAAGAGCTTGGTCCTAAGGTATGGAAAGAATCTACCAACTCAATGTTGTCAAAGTCTAAATTGTACGTCCCACTGCTAGCTATGGGCTTATCCTCATCAAAGACAGCAGAAAATGAATGGGAGGGAGGACGAAAAGGGCTTTCTTCAACTGATTCACTATGTGATACATCAGTTATGGACACGGTATCAGAACAGAATCCTACGGGGAAAAAAGAAGAAAACTCAATGAATTAAACAGATCAGTCATTGCAATAAATTATTAAGTCCCTGTATAAAGTTTTATTACATTTCACCTTCTGCACATTTTTTTTGAAAAAAATCAAAGAAAAATAAATAAATTATACAAAATGGACCAAGTCTAATTGAAAAGACGTTTCTTTATCATTTTGAGTGTTTCAAGGCTAGTGTATTGTGTATAAACTATATATACAGACTTGATAAAATGTTTCTGTTTTTTAGTTATTCCAGATGTAGTTTTCAGGAGATCATATGCTGTGAATGGAAGAATATGCTAAATGCCCTAAACTGTTAACTGATCTACCCTGCCTAAATGATTACTTAACCACATTTTCCACTACGATAATGGTTTGAAAGCTTTCACTTAAAAATGTATCAGCACTCTTTTTAACAGTTTAGAGGCACAGATCTCTTAAATTTCAGTAATCTGGACATTACTCTCTCAGTTTAATGTCCTATATTCCTCGCTTGATCATCACTTCACTAGGAATGTGGCTCTTTCCTGGACACAAACACTACTTCAGTACTGCCCAAAGTGGGGATAATTCAAACACCACATCTGTCCATGGCCCGAGTTTGAGAACTCCACATTCTCTTTCCACTGTTTTCAATATAAAAGCTAACTGTTCAGACATTTCCAAATTTTCTGTTAGAAATAACACTGGAAACCACGCTGAGGTTATTTCAAACTCACTTCAAGATATATTCACAGATTCATAGACATTAGGGCTGGAAGGGACCTCAGAAGATCATCAAGTCCAGCCCCCCACCCCAGAGGCATGAATTCAGCATGGGTCATAGGATCCCAACAAAATAAACATTTTTAATCGAGAGTAGAAATAATGTTAGAGCTCTAAAACCAAAAGCATGCATCTATTATGATTAAAATGTTTACATTTGGGTTCCCAAAATGATCAAATGAAACCCTACTGAGACACTTAAAACAAAAGAAAGAAGCAAAAAGATGTTGTAAGGCACACGCACAGAAGGGATTATGGAGTTAGTGATCTTTTAGTTCTTCTCCATCTTTAATATCCTGCATGTGACTTAATAAAATGTCTTGAAGATCCTCAACATGATGTACTGGAGTCAAAGGGCAAATTTCATGGGCTAGATTTAATCTTGTAGCAAGATGTGGACCAAAGACGACTATCAAGGAGCAGGATAAGGCCTTCCAGTGTAAGTCTGAACAGCCAAAATGCTGCTCTAAGCTTAACTGACTGCATGTAGTCCTTAAGATACCATGCACAAGTTGAGAACTGAAGTTGAAGCCCTCTACATCAAGGCAAGTGGTAGTTGGCATAAGAGTTGTGTGTGTTGGCTTCAAGCCCACAAGAACTCCTCCACTCCCAAACTAGAGATATTCTCAGCTGATCAATTAGGGCCAGACCTTAGGGGATGGTGCAAAGCCCACCTAACAAGTTATTTTCTCCCTGGATCCTAGGGAAATACTGCCAGATCATGGCCTTCTTCACTGCTCTCTTCCTTGAATTCAGAGACCCCATCTTATCACAGGACTTCCAGGATCAGGCTTGAGGGCATTTGCTCAAATGGAATTGGAGACTGGAGTATACAACCGGCAGACAGATCATCATACTCTGTTGTGATGTTGTGAATCTGTCAAATTCCTACTTCCCATTTAGGATGAAGTCAGACAAGGATCATTCGAATAGGTTTATATTCCACACCCCCAAACCTATTGTCCCAGGTGTATTTAGCAGGCAGATGCCCATCTGACAACTTGCCACTAATCAGAAGTCTAATTTCAAAAAGTCTCTATCAGTATGGTCTCACCAAACAAAACCAGTTTAAAAAAATTGTGATGAGGGCATTTATAAAGAAGATAAGATATAATGACCCTCTCATTTTCTCTTGCTTTATATATTGGCTAAGGTTTTGAGGTTGATGTTTCAATAGGACTGTGCCATTAATGACATCCATAAACAATGTAGCTTCAGAATATACATTTGAGATAAACGTACCATGTGATGAGTAACATTTAAGTAATGGTGTTTAACACGGCCAAAGCTAAGTGCTATGGAATTCGCACTGTGTTCTCAGAATATTTTCATACCATCTGTATTACTCCACACCAGTGTGTCAAACTGGTTTGGTCCTCCAGGCTGGATCTGGACCAGAAGGCTCCTTGAGGACCAGATCTGAATTGTGGGGCTTTAACGGGCCAAGTCTGAACAAAGCATTGGCAGGGGAAACTGCAGAGGTTAATGCAGCTGTTGCTCACTTTGCAGACTAAAGGTGCAAACTGCAAAGACTTTGCAGGCAAAGCATATGATTACAAGTTACCAACCTCTACATTTCGGATGGTTGCCTTAGTTTGCCTTTATTGCCTGGCAATTACTTTGCTCTGCAGGTGGTTCAGTGAAGTGCCAACTACTTGCAAGAATGAAAATGCATTCACTGCTGGTTTAAGTATTTGTGGCCATCTTATTACAAATACCTATTATCCTGTGAGTTGATCACTACTTTTTGTAAGACATTTTAAGACTTTTTCACCAATGTGTTTTAAATAGCAGTGAATCCAAATATGTTTAGTAAAGCAGAGGGCTACAAAATATGCATTCAATAGTAAACAAAAAGGTATTGTCTGTCTGCGGGCTCTTCATTTGTATTCAAATCAAACGTATTTATTATCCATAAATAATAGCTAAAAGAAAATCAGATTGTTCTTTGATTTTGTTCAAGGAAAACACCAAACTCTTTCAGGCAGAAAAGCACTATGGGGTCAGATTTGGATTATGTTTATCTTGGGACTTACATATCTTCTTTTATAGTACAGTGCACCTGTTTAACTCATCAGAGATTTATGTATTTGACTGTCTTTTGTTCAGATTTTACTAAGGACAGAATTTTAAACAACAGTTTGTTACCACTTTTCTTGTCTGGACCTGACTGTCATTAATTCCTGTTAGTACAGCTCATTTCAAAAGTGTGGCTGGCATATCCATTAGAAGTGTCACAGTCACATCAGCATGATTATGATTTGTTAACAACTGGAAGCATTTAAACAAAGCATGTTTCCTTTCACTTTGACATTTTGTATCATGTTGCATGCTTTAGCACATAGGTTGCATGCTCTAACACTCTAACACACATGGGCTGGATGAGTGGCTTGGGGAAAGTCTGCAGCCTAGGCGGGGCCAAGGCTTTCCTCCCTCCAGCATACTGGATCTGGTGCCTGCTGCAGCCATTTGGGACCTGTGCTGCAAGCGGTATGGATCCTAGACTGGCTGGAGCAGGCATCATGCTGGATGCAGTTCCTGCCCCAGCTGGACTGCACCATGCACAGTGTCCATTCTGGGAACTGTGCCACACAAGCGCCCGCTACAGCCAGGCCGGGACCTGTGCTGCCCATGGTGCTCACAGGCATCACATGCAGTATGGGTCCCAGACTGGCTGGAGCAGCTGCTGTCTGAGGCACCATCCCAGAGCTGCCGCTGCATGTGGCACAGTCTGGCTGGGGTGCACACATGTAGCACAGTGCCCACTCTGGCTGGTCTGGTGTCCACACTATGTGCCCCAGGCCAGAGTGCTCCATATGTGGCACAACGTTTCAGCCACTCCAAGATCTGCATTGCACATGTCTGCCCATGGGGATGTGGGTCTGCTCAGACCCAGAGGTAGCACTGGGGCTAGATGGCAGGGCTCCGTGGGCCAGATCCAGCCTGCAGGGAGTATGTTCATCCCTGCTCTAATATAATATAAAATAAAAAAGCTGAAATCAAAATGAAAATTCTGACGAACCCAAAATATGTGTTTTAATTTTTTTGAATGTAAGATTTCAAAATGTTGGGCTTTCATTCCAATTTCAAAATTTCCATGAACTGAATTTGCATTTTCTGTATAGCTCTGCCAATTAACACTTCTTCTCATTCAACTGTGCTATCTTTGTACAAAGAAGAAATATTTACTACTTCAATTTCAGCCCTGCATTTTACTTGTGAATGGGATGAGATCACAGAAAGCAGTCCCTCTTTGTTTCAGAGGCAATTGTGCGTCTACACAGGGACCTAGTCATAAATATTATTGACCACTATAATGAGCTGGAAGGTTTGAAGACACTGGATATTTCCTAAATCAGCATTTTCAGACTGAAACATACATTTTCATTTTTGTAGGAATGGTAACTACACAATTCCTGTTTGCACTTGGAAATTTCATTGAGTTATGTGAACCAAAAATTATATTTTTGGTTTTTTGGATTTTCTTTAACACGAATGCCAATAAAGTGGCACTGCTTCCTGAAAGTGTTTATTTCCTTATTCAAAGGATCATGTTTGGATTTAGTCTTGCTGGATGTTTTTTAATTAGACTTGCCATTGCCAGCTGAGCTGGTATTCACTTTTCACACAGAGAGATCATTTTTTGATGCCAGGCAGGTTTCTGCTAAAGACGCACCAAGTAGAGTTATAAGCCTCCAGTATTATTCTAAACTACACATTTTCCATAGGGACAGAGTGGAAAATAGCTAAATGGAAATCAGAACAATAAACCATTGCATAGCTCTAATATGTTGACAGGGTATACAATCTAGGAAATAGATTACAAGGAATTGTCACAAGTAAGAGTCGTTTTTATGATAATTAGCCAATGCTTTTCTTAATGCAGACACCAACAAGCACAAACAGGATTGAGGCCACGTTGTACAAACATGTATTAAAAAGTGTCCCTGCCTTGGAGTGCTAAAAATCTAATGGAGCCGGGTTTGAGAAACCATATAAAAAAGGGATAGGGTGGTGAAATGGCTTTGGTAAGAATATGCTTTACTTTTGTTGCCTTAAAAAAAAAAAAAAAAGGATTTAAGTTCTCTTGAAGGCAGCTCTAAGTAACAGACTAGCTGCCTGATAAAGCTGCAATCATTTCCTACACTTTGAAGTCAGTGTTGAAATCCTATAAACAGTTCTGCAGAGAGTGCAGAGGTCTTACTGCCTTTTTACTTTCACA